TAAATGCAACATTAGACTTTTTACACTATTCACATGTTCTACTTTGACTCTATTTTATTTATCAATGTATTAGAAATTAAATTTAAAAAATATGTTAAATTCCTATCATTTTAAATTTTCAAAATCTAAATTTTTAAATTTTTTTTACTGATAAGGATTAAGAAATGAAAGATAGTAATGGTCAAACTTGTGCGTTGGTAAACGTGAAAAATGGACCGTTGCAATTAAAAAAGAAAGGAGGAAGTATATTTCAGTCACATTCCTTAACATTATCTGTGTATTTCATATGTGAACTTTATTTGTGAATACCTTCATCTTGCTGTTATTATCTGTGGCACACATACCTTCACCTTTATCTGTGTATTCCTTCAAAAAAAAATTCTTCATTTCAAATTTCAATATCAATTTTTCTTCATTTTTATTTATTGATTGATTTGTTTTTCTTTTTGCAAATACTATATGGGAAACAGTTGGCAGTTTATATCTCGGAGAAGATACCAAAGTTGCTAATTGGTGATCCAGGGAGATTTCGGCAGATTATCACAAACTTGATGGGAAACTCAATTAAAGTAAGTTGCTAAATGCATATAAACGTAAGTCTAGGGTGATAGAAAGTTTTGCATCTTAATTTTGTTACTTGATGTTTTCATCCTTAGTTCACTGAGAAGGGGCATATATTCGTCACTGTCCATCTTGTTGAGGAAGTGGCTGTTGAGCATGGATCAAGTGGCACTTTGAGTGGGTTCCAAGTAGCCGATAGACATAAGAGCTGGAAAGAAATCAATGCTTTTAATCAAGGAGGATCCCCGTCTTACAAATTGAGCCCTGATCAAATCAATTTAATTGTCTCAGTTGAAGACACGGGCGTTGGAATTCCCTATGAAGCTCAGCATCTTGTATTCACTCCCTTCATGCAAGTTGGCCCCTCCACTGCACGGACTCATGGGGGTACTGGTATTGGATTGAGTATAAGTAAATGTTTGGTACAGCTGATGAAAGGTGAAATTGGTTTTGTGAGCTTGCCAAGAATTGGGTCTACTTTTACTTTTACTGCTGTTTTTTCTGATGGTTGTGCTGATTCAAACGAGCCCAGTTCTGCTTTTTCCGAGTTCAAAGGCATGAGAGCCTTAGTTGTAGATCCCCGGACTGTACGAGCAGAGGTCTCAAAGTATCACATTCAACGCCTTGGTATTTATGTTAAGGTGGTTCAAGATTTGAATGAAGAGCTCTTATTTATAAGCACCGAGGAAACAAGTATAAATATGGTCCTAGTTGAACAGGAAGTATGGGATAGGGATTCGGGGCAGGTTACTCGATTTGTCAACAAACTAAGAAGCTACAATATCAATTCATCTCCTAAACTATTTTTGTTAGCTAATTCTATAAGTTGTACAGGAGGAAACACCTCAACAGTGGGTGTTTCTACTCCATTTGTTATTATGAAGCCGTTACGAGCTAGTATGCTTGCCGCGTCTCTCCAGCGTGCCATGGGGGTTAACAACCAAGGAAACCACAGGAGTGGAATGGTTTCTGGTGCTCCTCCTCTTTCTGAGCTCCTTCACGGAAGGAAGATACTTGTTGTTGATGACAACCTAGTGAACCTTAAAGTAGCTAATGCTGCCTTGCGGAAGTATGGTGCTGATGTGGTTTGCACAGACTGTGGGGAAAATGCAATTTCACTTCTACGTCCACCTCATGAGTTTGATGCATGTTTTATGGATATTCAAATGCCAAGGATGGACGGGTATGTTTCACTTGATCCCTTTAATCTTTTATTCATAGCATGATGCCATTCTTTATTTTCTACATCTTCTATGTAGTCACTAGTGATGACTATTTCACCCACCAAATTAAGTCGTTCTACACCGGCCAAATATAAAGATGCAAACTTATTTATAAAGCCTCACATTATTCATCTTTGTTGTGTCAAGTTGACCTTTTAAGACGCAACTCTAAGTTTTAATATGGTTTACATAGCCAATTCAGCTCCAATAAGCAGCTGGTCTGACTAAATTAACCACTATACGGATTTAAGACTTGTTGTGCTCAATAGCGTGATACCTTCTTTAAGATGAAGTGCATGAAAATTTTCAGTACACCTAGCATTCAGCAAGATGGGCTATTGCACTGGTCTGGCCTGTTATGTGTTCTGATACCAGAACTGAAATGTGAGTTTACATTCTTTTATCATGCAGGTTTGAAGCAACCAAAAGAATCCGTGAACTTGAAATTCAAATTAGTAATAACAAAAATCGCAAACAGGATGAAGCTTACAGAAATGGACCAAACGGGCATGTGCCCATCTTGGCAATGACTGCTGATGTAATCCATGCCACATATGAGCAATGTCTGAGGTCTGGAATGGATGGATATGTCTCAAAACCATTTGATCCAGAGCAACTATACCGCGAAGTTTCACGTTTTTTCCATCTCAAATCAAATTAAAATCTGTAAAGTGCCTTGTGGCTTGCTGCTTGTAGTGTTTTTTTAGCTGAGTGGCATGCTCTTCAAGACACATCAGAGAAGTTAAAACAGTAGATCTGCTTCCCCAACAGTGAGTAATTTATAGCTTATGCCTGTTTGGTATCTGCATATTATGCTTTTGTTGATTACTTAAACTTTGCTTGGGCTTCAAATATTCAACACGCATCTGCAGAAAATGCCTTCAGCCAATTTCAGAATGTATATAGAAGTCAAGGCAAGAATCTGATGACCCGCGTTGTAACGTAAAAGGTCGAAGGGCACATCTTCTTTCTCCCCATGCAAGTTTTGTACTTTCCCATTCAGAAAGTCTCAGTCTTTGTACCACGGAGGGAGTTTGTGAAAACAAGTAGCAATGGCTATTGTATAATATGTTTGATTTGAATAAAGCATTTCAGGATGTAAAATAGTGTACTATTGGTAGTCGACCCAAATGTTGTATGAAAAATTAGCTCTATATCTAGAACTTGTACAGTTCAGATCTGGATACATTTAGTTCACCAATTTTTTCATACTAATTATAGTTCAGCTAAAAGGAGCATATCAAATGCCAGACTGTTTTAGTTATGCAGAAACCGCAGTTGTGTTGCATTCGGATTGGGTAAACCGTGACACAGCGCTTGCGAGTTAAGAACCATGAGGTAAATAAATTTAGCATTCAAAATTTAAACACGGACTGTGGCAGTGGAACCTTGCTACCACTGAGTTCTCTATCTGACTAAAGATTACAAAGTAACCTAATGCAGGTAGTGTTGGACCCGGGTCCGGGTTGGGCCTAGGCCCGGCTGGGTCTGGATGGCAATGGGTTAGGCCTGGGATGGCCTGGTTGTCTACCAGTTCCGGGCCGGGTCCGGTTCTATTTTTGTTTTTTGTTTTTTGTTTTTGTTTTCTTGATTATTTCATCCCCTACCGGCCTACCCCCGCCCCCCAATCCACCACCCATCTCCCAAACCCATCGGAAACACCCAGCCCATTTAAACTCGGCCCAAACCAAAAAAAGAAAAAAAATTAAAAAGGCCCGAACCGAGCCCGGCCGGGCCGGGCCGGGCCGGTTCACATTTAGTCAATCCCGGAACCGCCCCGGTTCCTGGGCCGGTTCCCGGGTCGGGTGGCCCGCACCGAGACCATCACTAAATGCAGGTGCCAACTGCCTATAACAATCCAAACTTTATTTCCAAAAGTGTTTGAGGTCAAGTAATATGAACTAACATGTCACGGCCCTAAGGCGAAGCAAGGTGCCAACTGATTGTCTTACCATCTTGGCAATTAGTCATACTTGCATTGTATGCAATATTTAAATATATAAATATTGCTTGAAAATATTTAATTTCTAATATTATCACCGTCCTGGCTTAAATTTCTCATTGAGAAATGACACAGTTATTTAGTCAATAATGAAATGAGAGAAGGGGCAAATAAGCTCTTATATTATTAGTAATTCTGCAATCAGACCCCTTGAAACAAATGAGTCTTGAAAACAAAAGATCATACCCTTGCATTCAATTGTTCAACACTTCAACCTATTGAATTAATAAAAAAAAAACTTTCTTTACCTGTTGGTACCAGTAAGGCATTGACTTTTTCGTTAGAAGTTACCGACACCAGCCAGTAAAAGGGGCTTAATTTCTCTATTACAATGTGTTGAAATATAAACTACAAAATATAATATTGAAGAGAGGAGGAAAGATTTTCTGTGTATTTCATTGGAGGGTTAAGTCCCTATAAATATACATTACAAAGATAGAATATTCCTATAAGATTCTATACAATAATAATATCCTAGAGTATATTCCTAAAATATTCTAAAGTATATTCTAAGGATAGAAGAATATTCTAAAGTATATTCCAAAGTATATTCTAAAGTATATTCTAATGGCTTTCACACTCCCCCTCAAGTTGGAGCATAGATATTTATCATGCCCAACTTGTTACATAAATAACCAACACGAATTCCATTTAATGCTTTAGTGAACAAATCTCCAAGTTGCTCTCCAGTCTTCACATATCCTGTAGAGATCAATCCTTGTTGTATCTTTTCTCGAACAAAGTGACAATCGACCTCAATATGTTTTGTTCTCTCATGAAACACTGGGTTGTTGGCAATGTGTATAGCAGCTTGGTTATCACACCAGAGTTTAGCAGGCATTGGTGTCTTCAATCCGATTTCACTCAGCAAATGGTTTATCCAGATTATCTCACATGCCGATTGTGCCATAGCCCGATATTCTGATTCAGCACTCGAACGAGAAACCACATTTTGCTTCTTACTTTTCCAAGAGACGAGATTACCACCAACAAAGACGCAATAGCCAGATGTGGATCTCCTATCATCTTTAGATCCAGCCCAATCAGCATCTGCAAAGCATTCTATTCTCATGTGATCATGATTTTGGTAAACAATACCTCGTCCTGGTGTCCCCTTCAAGTAACATAATATATGCTCTACTGCATTCCAATGATCAACTGTCGGAGATGACATATATTGACTCACTACGCTCACAGAGTAAGCAATGTCTGGACGAGTGACTGCGAGATAGTTAAGCTTTCCAACCAATCTTCTGTACCTTTCTGGGTCTTCGAATGGTATGCCTTCTGAAGTGAGTTGCACATTGGGAACCATGGGAGTTGTGTTTGGCTTTGCTCCCAATTTCCCTGTTTCAGTTAGTAAATCAAGTACATATTTACGCTGAGATAGAAATATGCCTTTCTTACTCCGTGTTACCTCAATACCCAGAAAGTATTTCAATGAGCCTAGGTCTTTTGTTTGGAATTGGCTATGAAGAAAATTCTTAAGGGCCAAAATACCTGCGGTATCACTTCCTGTAATCACAATATCATCGACATACACCACAAGCAATGTGATACCTGCTTTCGTTTTTCTGTAAAAGACAGAGTGATCTGATTGACCTTTTATCATTCCAAACCGTTCAATGGATTGACTGAATTTCCCAAACCATGCACGAGGACTCTGTTTCAGACCATAAAGAGATTTGCGAAGTCGACAAACTTTTCCATACTCCCCCTGAGCAACAAATCCCGGAGGTTGCTCCATATAAACTTCCTCCTGAAGGTCACCATGTAAGAATGCATTTTTAATGTCCAACTGGTGTAAGTGCCAATCATGAGTTGCAGCGAGTGAGATAAGTAACCTGACAGATGTTAATTTAGCAACAGGAGAAAAAGTGTCAGAATAATCAACACCATAGGTTTGAGCATAACCCTTTGCAACCAATCGAGCTTTCAATCGAGCAACAGATCCATCTGGATTAACCTTAACAGCAAAGACCCACTTACATCCAATAGACTTCTTCCCTGAAGGCAAGTATACCAAATCCCAAGTACCATTAAGATCCAAAGCATTCATTTCCTCTACCATGGCATGACGCCATTCAGGATGAGACAAAGCTTCTTTAACAGATTTGGGAACAGAAATAGAATCAATGGAAGTAACAAAAGAACATGAGGCAGGAGATAACTGACTGTATGACACAAATGAGGAAATAGGATGAGTACAAGACCGTGTACCTTTACGTAGTGCTATCGGGAGGTCAAGATCAGATGTAGAGACAAGATCTGAAGATGCAGGTACTGGTTCAGGACATGAGATCGAAGTCGGACCAGTATCAGGATATGTAATCACAGGTGTCACAGGTGGGGAGTGATCTTGTGCTTTGTGTCGACGGGTGTAAACCAAGTGTACAGGAGGTCTAGGGTGAGGAACAGTGACATTCGACATAGTTACTGAAGGTGTGGTCTCAGGTATAGTAACTGTGTAAATGAGTATTTCATCGTTGTCCTCATGAATATCTGTCTTGGATGATGAAAATGGTGTATTTTCATGAAATGAGACATCAATAGAAATAAGATATCGACCTGTACTTGGACAAAAACATCTATACCCCTTTTGAACTCGAGAATAACCCAAGAAAATACATTTCAATGACTTGGGGTCCAATTTCGTCCGATGAGGGTTAACATCTCTAACAAAACAAGTGCAACCAAATATTTTAGGTGGAATAGGAAAAAGTTCTTTATTTGGAAAAAGACATTGATAAGGAGTTTTACCATCCAAAACAGAAGATGGCATACGATTGATCAAAAAACATGAAGTAGACACAGCGTCAGCCCAAAACTGTTTAGGCACATTCATTTGGAATAGAAGAGCCCTTGCAGTTTCTAACAAATGTCGATTCTTTCTATCAGCAACTCCATTTTGAGGAGGTGTGTCTACGCATGAAGTTTGATGAATAATGCCATGTTGAAGCATAAAAGATTTAAATGGAGCAGATAAATATTCTTGGGCATTGTCTCCCCTTAACACACGAACAGGAACATTAAATTGAGCTTTAATTTCAGTACAAAATGCAGAGAAATGAGTAAATAACTCGGATCGGCGCTTCATAAAATACACCCATGTCATACGAGAATAATCGTCAACAAAAGTGACAAAATATTTGAAACCAGGTTTGGACACAACTGGACATGCCCCCCAAATATCAGTATGGACAAGATCAAACGGAGCATTTGCTCGTTTATTAAGTCGGGGACTTAAACTAGTGCGATGATGTTTAGCAAACTCACACGACTCACATTGTATAGAAGACACCTTATTAAACTGAGGATATAATTGCTTCATTAGTGAGAGAGATGGATGTCCTAATCGGTAATGAGCTTCTAATAGATTTCCAACCCCAAGGCAAGAGATACCTTTTGTAATTGATGTATCCAAAATATAAAGACCACCCGACTCATGTCCTTGACCAATAGTATGCTTCGTTAACAGATCCTGAAACACACAATATCCCGGAAAAAATGTTACAGAACAATTAAGAGTACGTGTGATTTTACTGATGGAAAGCAGATTAAATGCAAAATTAGGAAGACTCAAAACAGATGATAATGGTAATGTAGAAGTTGGTACAACAGTACCAGATCCAAGAACGGGTGAGGTAGACCCGTCTGCTAAAGTGACACTGGAAGCAGGTAAATGTGAGTGAAATGATGAGAATAGACTAGGATTACCAGTCATATGATCTGTGGCACCTGAGTCAATGACCCATTTTGAGGATGATGAAACAAGACATGTGTTTGAAATACCTGAATTTGCGACTACCGAGATAGGGGTAGATGAATGCTTTAGAGATTCTTGGTAGCAAATAAATTTAGCATACTCGTCTGAAGAAATAGCAATTGATCCATCAAATGAACTCGTAGCGGAAGCAACATGAGCAAGCTGATTTCCTTGATTTTTGAACAGCAACTTTCTACATTCTTTGAGCAAGTGCCCGGGCTTCTTGCAGTAATGGCATATTACTCCTCTGCCAAATGGACCCGTAAAAGACATCTTTTTTTTTTATTTTTATTTTTTTTGATTTTTTTTTTTACTTTTTTTTTTTTGAGAATAAATAAATAAATACAGCTAATTAAGACTTACCAGCCGCAACTCAATAGATGGTTGGCGAGGTCTGGATTTCTGACTTACCAGCTAATGATAGTGGCGACTCCAAAAATATAACGCAGCCCCTTTCTAATTCGAGCCAGCTCACCTAGTCTCAAATCCCAACCTTTCTCAACAGTCTGGTACGAATAAATAGACAAAATATATACGCAGCCCCCTTCCAAAAGTATCTGCGTCGCCAACCTCAAGAAGACCGTGGATCCAAAAGCTCGCAGATCGGAAAAATGGATTTGCCTGGCAGAGAATACTCAGGCGACCTAGATGGCGATTTCCGATTAGAAATCCGGTCAGCTATGAAGCTTCACTCGCCGGCGCGTGCGGCAGCCGCGAAAGTCTTCGGCGGCGCGTGTGACTGACGCGCGAAGCTTTGCCGGTGCGGACTCCAAAGACGTGGTCGGCGGCGGCAAGTGCAATTGGTTAGGACGGAGGTGAGAAATAGGACGGTGTTGGTCTGGACAAAGGTTCTGGTTAGGGTGTGTAGAGGTTCTGTAGGCAGAATGGTGTGTAAGGTTCTGAAAATGGTGTGTCAGGTTCTGAAGTTAACTCAAGTTCTTGGAGAAAGAACCCAGCCTGAATACTGAACTGAAATCAGCCTGAATAAAGAACTGAAATCTGAAAAACTAAACTGAAATGGAAGTCTCTGATACCATGTTGAAATATAAACTACAAAATATAATATTGAAGAGAGGAGGAAAGATTTTCTGTGTATTTCATTGGAGGGTTAAGTCCCTATAAATATACATTACAAAGATAGAATATTCCTATAAGATTCTATACAATAATAATATCCTAGAGTATATTCCTAAAATATTCTAAAGTATATTCTAAGGATAGAAGAATATTCTAAAGTATATTCCAAAGTATATTCTAAAGTATATTCTAATGGCTTTCACACAATGTATCAAGAGGTGTATTTGTAAGGTCTTCCGGTTCAAGGTCTAAATGCAAAATCACCAATAGTTCAAGGGCTTATTTTCTCATTCTCTCCAATTAAATAAGGTTGTTTGAGTATATTTTGATGTATAGTTGTTGATCACTATATAGTATAATGAGGTCATTGATGATAAATATGATGTTATCGATGTACTATTTTTAATACTTGATGACTAAGTTGTCATTTAAGAGTGTTAATTACTTCTTAAAATAGAAATGAACACATTTAATTGGAACGTCCAAAAGAGGCTAGTGAGAAGCTTAAGCCGGGAAGAAGGAAGTACATTACACCTTCTGTCCCTTTTAACTTTGCTAATTTTCCCCTTTTTATCGTCCTATTAATTTTGTCACTTTATCTTTTAAATAAAACTTGTGATTTTTGTTGATTTTCTCTCCTCTTCACAAATCAAGAGTTGAAAACAAGGTTTATTAATGGAAATTACGAGAAAAGGAACAATAAATACCAACTATGCGTTTTGCGAGTGATTGCAGCTAACAGTGAGTCCACCAAAAGCATCTCACCAATCAACTATAAACTAGTCACAAATTAAATACTAGATATCAAAGTGAGTCCACTAAAAGCTCCATTTAAAATATTATTTAGATATCATAAATTTTATCATCTATGAGGAGTCTTATTTTTATTGCTTGACCGCGAGCTGCTTTGCAAAACTTCCTCACAATCTGTTGTTTGATTACTTATTTTGGCATGCATTGTTTCAATCAGTGTCAACCATCTTTTCAAGCACGTCGTTAAACATCATTCATTTCCCAATCCAGATGCAAAATCAGTCTATTTGGGATCAAAATATTTAAAAGGTTTTAAAAACAAATCAGATCGGAATAATTTGACCTCCATTTGGACTTCCCATCGTGTCTTAATGGTCTCAATCAAACTTCTCAAAACTCTAGACCTGTTTTTGAATGACTCACTTATTTTTTTTCCTTGACATAATCCATGTCCATTGAAAGCTCCGACATAGAAGTGGTTGTGAAGTTCCTATAGAATATTCCACTGCACTCCATAATCGAGTAGACAATACAATATCGCTTATCTTCTTTCCCGCTTTTGTGACAACCAATTTGGATCAGATATGGTTCAGACCAAAGAGCTAAATTGATTTCGCAGTGCTTCTTTCTGTTCAAATAGAGATTGCAAAAGTGAGAAACATTGTTGTAAATCTAGTAGCTCTAGGTCTTACAGGATCCTTCCCATCTGTCTTTAGTCTTATTAAAAGGAGGATCCTCATATGCGATAAATGAAAGTCGTCACATGTCTCGCCTTTTCGGCGTGGGACTTGAAATCGGATATTTTCTCGATATCCTCCAACATCAAGTCTAAGCAATGCACGGTGCATGGAGTCCAATAAAGTGTGGACATCTTGTGCTCTAGAAGACTTCCCGCAGACTTATAGGTAGAGCCATTGTGTGTCATCACTTGCACTACTTTATCTTTTCCAACTTCAAATTTCTCTCAAGCAAACATGCTAGTAAAGTTGCATCTTGAGATTCACTTGATACATCAATTGAGTCTATAAAAAGTACCTTTTAGACTATTGACAAGGAAACTAATTAAATGTCTACTCCTTTGGTCAGTTCATCCATCACACATAAGTGTGCACCCATATTCCTTTCAAGCAACCTCATGTTTCTCTCTTAGCTTCTTTGTCTCTTTCTTTGTTTTTCAAGAAGTGATATACACAATCAAGATAACTAGAAGATTTAAGTCCTCGGGCAAACCACCCATTCGACTCCACCATGATCTCATAATTCCAAGAGTTTGTTGTGTTGAAACGAATATTGATTTCATAAAAATATTCAGCAATGTGCATAAAGATCCTCTCTTTTTCTTTCTTGTTTTTTGTATAATGTTCTAGTGTACTTTGTGTGTGGTCTTTCGCATGTTTTCCATCAACAACCTCCTCAGGAGTTTTAGAAATCTGTTTAGAAGTGGAAGTCTTAGACGAATATATTTGGGTCAAAGATACTTCTTCAACATCATTGTCATTGTCATCATCCTCAACATGAACCGATGTACCCCTTGGTTTCTTCCTTAAATATTTTCGCATCACCCTCATAAGCTCTGTTGTCGTATAAGCCTATAAGGAGATACAACTACATATTCATATTCATCGTCTAAATGTTGCTTCAATCCGTTTGTGCTAAAACGAACGCATTCACATATGATAGTATTGACATTTGATTATGTTTTTGTTGTTCATGTCAGGCCAAAATATGATAGTAAAAATGTTTACTGGATATTACTAAAAAATAAGATGGAAGACAAAAAGTAATCACTTTAAAATTTCAAAAATGTGACCAACATTACAATTAAACCTTGCAGTGCAAGGTGACTCCGGTCAAAGTGACTCCGCCACCACCGCACTAGTGACTGCCCCACCGGCCACAGTGACTGCCCCACTAACCACTGCCGCCACAGTGACACGCCGTTCTCCAGCCACAGTGACACGCCGCTCTCCGGCCACAGTGACACGCCGCTCTCCGGCCACA